TGAAGCCCACAAGTCACTAAGGGCAACAGAATACTCAAAGTTTGTGACAACAAATTTTCATGTTAGTTGCCCAAGTTGGAATTTAGGAGCCAAATCTTATACTGTCTTGTGCACTTACATGTATACGTATATGCTTTGTTTACTTTTTTCCTTTTTTTTTTTTTTTTTAAATCTTGATGACATGATGAATGGTGAATGACAGAATCACAGAATGATTAAGGTGGGAAGGGACTACTGGAGGTCATTTGGTCCAACCCCCCCTGCTCAACCTAAAGCCCAGGACTGTGTCCACATGGTTTTGAATATCCCCAAGGATGGAGACTCCACAACCTCTGAGGGCAACCTGTGCCAGCACTTGGTCACTTCCTCAGTAAAAAAGCGCTTGTGATGTTCAGAGGGAATCTCTTGTGTGTCAGTTTGTGCCCATTGCCTCTGGTTCTGTGCCTGGGCATGACTGAAAAGAGCCTAGTTTTGCACTTCCCTTTGTTGAACTTCATGAGGTTTCTGTTGGCCCATTTCTCCAGCCTGTTGAGGTCCCTCTGGATGGCAGCATAACCCCCTGGCACACCAGCCACTCCTCCAGATCCAGATCATTAATGACGTTGTTAAACAGGACTGGATCCATTTTGACTGCTGGGGTACATCACTGTTTATTAGCCTTCAGAGCACTGATCACCACCCCCTGGGCCTGGCCCTTCAGCCAGTTGTCAGTCCACCTCATTGTCTGCTTATCCAAGCCCATACACCAATAGCTTCTCTAGAAGGATCCTACAGGACAGTGTCAAAGGCCTTAGTGCCTTTGACAGGTCCAGGTAGACAATATTCACGGCTCTCCCCTCATCCACTGGGCTAGTCAGTTCACTGTAGAAGTATCAAGTTGATCAAGCATGACTTCCCCTTGGTGAAGTCAGCCATGATGACTACTCATGATGACAGTCTTGTCCTTAGTGCTCCTGGAAATGGTTTCCAAGAACAGCTGCTCCATCACCTTCCCAGAGATCAAGGTGTAGTTCCCTGACTTCTCCTTCTTGCCCTTCCTGGAGAAAGGAGTGACATTTACTTTCTTATAGTCTTCAGGCACTTTCTCAGTCACCATGATCAACTAAAGATCATTGAAGGTGTCCTTTCAATGACATCTCTCAGCATTTGTAGGTGCATCAAATAAGGGCCCATGGACTTATGTATGCCCAGTTTCCTTAAGTATTCCCTGACCTGATGCTCTTCCACCATGGGTACATCTTCCTTGTTCCAGCCTTTCTCCCTTGTCTCTGGGACCTGAGATTCCTGAAGGCCAGTCTTGCTAGTAAAGACTGAGAAAAAGAGGGCATTCAGTGTCTCAGCCTTTTCCATATCCTGTGTACTCAGGGCCTCTGACTTATCGAGCAAAGGGCCCACATTTTCCCTAGTCATCCTTTTGTCACCTGTGTACATATAGAAGCCCTTCTTGTTGTCTTTGATGTCCCTGGACAGATTCAATTCTATTTGGTCCTTAGCTTGCCTAACTTCATTCCTGGATGTTCAGACAATGTTTCTGAATTCCTCCCAGGTTACCCATCCTTGCTTCCACCCTCTGTATACTTCCTTTCCATGTTTAAGTTTGGCTAGGAGCTCTTTGTTCACCCATGTAGGCCTCTTGGTGTTTTTGCCTGACTTCTAATTTGTTGGGATTGAACGCTCTTGAGCTTGGAGGATGTAATCCTTGAATATTAACCACCTCTCTTAGACCTCTTTTCCCTCCAAGGCCTTACCCCTTATCTTCCAAGCAGATCTTTGAGGAGGCCAAAGTCTGTTCTCCTCAGGTGTGAGCTCACTTTTCACCCTTCTCCCTGCCCTTAGGCTCCTGAATTCTACCAGCTCATACTCACTGCAGCCAAGGCTGCCTTTGACCTTCACAGCCCCAACATGCCCCTCCTTGTTGGTAAGTATGAGGTCCAGCAGAGCACCTTTCCTCATTGGCTCTTCTATCCCTTGTAAGGATAAGTTGTTGTCAATTGACTCCAGGAACCTCCTGGACTGCTTATGTCCTGCTGTATTGTCCCACCAGCAGATGCAGGTGCCTGAGGTACCCCATGATGACCAAGGCCTGTGAATATGAGGCTGCTCCTATTTGTCTGTAGAGGGCTTCATCCGTTTGCTCATCCTGGTCATGTGGCCCAGAGCAGACACCCACTATAATGTCACCTTGACCTGTCCTCTCTTTAATCCTAACCCATAAACTCTCATCTGGCTCCTCATCCATCCCCAGGCAGAGCTCCATGCACTTCTGCTGCTCTCCTACATAAAGGGCAACTCCCCCTCTCATCTCCCCTCCCTGTCCTTCCTGAAGAGCCTGTATCCCTCCACTGTGACACTCCAGTCACAGGAGCCATCTGTGATCTCCGTGATCCCTCTCCTTACACCCTTTCCCCTCACCAGCAGGTTTTGTTATTGTTCTGCAGACAAGAACCAAGTAAGAAATGCTGCGTAAATGAAACTATATACAAGCATTGTCTATTGCTTCCCATTTTACTAAAGTATATGGAAGTCTGCCTCTGACTAGCTGTGCTGTTTTGTAACTCTATGTTCACATCCTTAAAGCTGTGTGCAACAAAAAAATCACTTTTCCAAAGATTAGAGGCATGCATTACTCTGACTGGAAAGGCTAGATATTGCTGGATGACTCATAAGTCACGTTACGTAGGACATGAGAAGAAGACATTAAAAGTGAAGGCCTCTTAGTTCAATTAAGTATAGCCATTTCTCATGTATCATATAGGATTTGTCAGGCTGGAGCACAGAATTGGTCCAATGATCACATATAAAATGCTACGCAACACACAAGAAATAAATTCCTGTGAGTAGCCGGTTCTGTCAAAGCTGTTATGGCTTTTTATATCAAAGACAGGTAATGGCTTAAGAGCGGCAGAGAAGCATGCCTGAAAAGGTAAGAAAAGCACCTTGCAACTCTAAGACAGCACAGACATAGCTCCTCTATTTGCAGACACACTCCCCTTAAATGGCAGGCCAGAAGAGAGGGTGGGGACATCCCTGCAGCGGTGACAGCCAGACACCTCTCCCAAAACAGGTGACGAATGTTGAAAAAGGAACATCTGGCTATTTTGACAGTTAGCTGCCAAGCAAATTCCTGAATGACTTCCTGAAGTTGTGCCCTAATTGTCCACATCTTTTCCACCTTGCCTTCGCTCCTGTACAATGGGGAATTGAGGATGGAAAGGTCATATTTCACCACTTGCCTTTGATGCACCCCAGCCACCTATACATCCTCCTGGCTGCCGACAGCGCAGTGCTCAGCCAGGAAGGGAGATGGAATGGCAGCAAGGTCATACACGTTGCCTGTCAAGAGACACTGGGCTTCCCTAGAGAGAAGGAAGACAGACTCACCTTTCCCAATTTATTCTCCAGCCATCTGTCATACTTTCAAAAGGCAACTGCACAAATATGCCTCATACACAGACACACTCTTTACTTTGGTCTACAGCTCTATATTGGGATATACTGGCAATTTGTTCATCTCAGTGTGTAATTCTGCTCTGGGTCTGTATTTTAACAGTCTGCCTCCTCATCACTGTGGCACGTAACTGTCTTCAGGGACACACAGTTCACCTAGGGTACTATTTACTGGGCTTGCCAACTCTGGCCCAAAAGCAGAGAACTATTTAATTCCATTCTGATTGCCTTGACCCTACTCAAGCAGCCATGATTCTCATATTCACCATCAGCTTCTCACTTTTTCTTGTTCTGATGACCTCACTAAAAAAACAGGCCACAGTGTCTCCAAAGGAAATAAAATCCTTGAGCCTGAGTGCATTTTCTGCTCTTTATTTGTTTTATACTACGAAAAATGGACAAATTTCAGCACAAAAGAGAAAGGGTTAACAAAGTACCCAGGCTTATGTTTTCAACATGATTGGGCTGAGTGATAAGCTATATGCTTAGACATATATTAATGTGCATTTGCCCAAGTTGCTGACAAGAAACCAATCAAGCACGCAGGGTTACATACCTGCAATTAATTTCAGAAAATATAAGTATTCAGGGCATTCTCTCTTCCTTCTCTCTCCTCTCCTTTCCCTCTTCAAAGCCCTATGTTAGTTACTGTCTATGGTTCATGTTTATACAGAACGTACAAACGACCCCGCCTAAAAATGACAGTAATTTGCAAGATAGAAATCTTTTGATAAGATACAAGAAATATCTAGTACTCCGAATTCTGACCATTTTTTATCACCCAGCAGCCTAGGAACATGCCATCTGTCTGGTTTTCATTAGTATGCTTGACTGACTGACATCCCACCTCTCCAAGATGCACACTCGTTTTTGTGTTCCCCAATTTGTTGCCCTGAATAATAGTCTCCAGTAGAAAATGTAGTTTAAATCTGCTTCCACCACAAATATTATCCATATATTCAATCTATAATCTTTTTTTAGACCACACAGAGTCCACTCTAATATGAGTTTACTAAATAATTTCATGATACGTAACTCATTTATATGCTATCAGGATACTAAACGTTGTCAGCACACACCTTCCGAGGGCCCGTGTTCTTCAGCTCAAAGACATCCATGGTGTAGTTGACTCTGCGACCATAGTGGTCAAACTGAACATTTCCTGTCAATCCTTGTATTCGAACCTAGAAATGGAATAAAAGGCATTATGAAGATCCAGCCTTATATTCTTTATTCCAAATGTCACAGAGTAGTGGAAGTTATCCTGGCTATGTCCTTAGATGATTACCATAACAACAGTACTCTAGAATAGACAGGCATTATAAAGCAAAGAAGTTAGTCCTTTTTCCTTTGTGTTCCTTTTTCCTGTCAAACCGTGCTCAAAATAGGCTTAGATATGCCAGTAGCTAAGCGCTAACAAAGACACACAATGGACCTTCTCTTCTTTCATGCTGTGCAGCTCAACACTTTCCAGCTGCAGGTCCTAAAGAGCAGTACATTTTTTACTATTCTCATCACTGTTGCAGAATATTTTGGATCACATGAAATACACCTACAGGATGTTTGGCCTGAGCTCATATATCCTTTTAGTTTACACTCCGGTGGATTAAATGTATAAATTGAGTATATATGGCTTATCAAGGTAAACTTGACAACAACCTTGGCCCCAGCAAAGCTATTTACTATCACAGAAGATGGCTGACGTGCACAAGCCTAAACAGAGTGTTTTCAAAGCCTCAGAGCAAAGAAGGACAGATGTAAAGCCATAAGACTGTCAATGGCGGCTTTCCATGACCTGTGTCTCAGCTGAAACCAGAACTTTTTTTGTCTTTCAGTGCTTTACTGCCTCACCAAAGGGTACCCAGACTATGGTCCTCATTCCCAAAGAAGTCATGGAGATATTGCTGCTGTCTTTGATTGTATCAGGATCCAGCCATGCAAACCTCTTTGTCCAGATTCAAAGGCTCATGCTGTCCACCCTAATACAGAAGCCTGACTTCATGCTTCTCACAATTGTTACACATCTGTGCATCTGCACAGAGTATGTGAAGCATACAAAACTCTTTATTTATATCCCTAAGAGTCAGGATGTGGATTTAAACCACTTACTCCTTCCCTCTGTCCATTTTTATCTCTGCAGATTTTTCTCCAAGACTGAAACCTTGGCTTCCAGGCACAGAGCTGCCAGCTCTCTCAGCAGTCACTTCTCCTCAGCAGTTTCTCCTGAGTGGAGCCTGCTCATTTGCAATGATTTAAATTCTACTGCAGGATTTTTGTTTTCTTACTGTCCCATTCAAAGGAAGGGCTAAATCATCTTGACAGAGATCTGGAACTTTCTAGGCATTCGTATTCATCAGGAATTCAAAATCCTGACATCAGAGAACACTAGCTCTGGGTTATTTGTTTTTAAAGAAAAAAATATTACCTATGTGATTTCCCTGGGAGAAATCTACTTTTATTCAGGATGACAGAAACATATTGAAGGGTTATATTACATAGCTATACCTTTTTCCTTAAATGACAATAACTGTACACCCAGTTTTTATGCAAAAGCAACAGAGAGCTCACCACTTCAATGGAAGAAGTCCCAACTATCTTAATAGAAGTAATCGTTGTTTCAAATAGTAGTAGTTCCCTTCATTCCAAGTTATAAATCAGAACAACCAGAACAGCCCCAGCTGTTTCCAAATGGGAATTGAAAGATAAATGTCCCCTTTCCCACTACTGCTGTTGTGTATAATAGCTTTCAAATCATATAGTGTACAACTAGTATCCAAAGATCCAAAGATCACTAGAATAAAGTCTATCCTTACCTGTTTTAATGTCCTCTCCATATCAATTCCTTGACCCCATGGGGCTGCAGGGTTAGCAAGACAATCACCAGCATTTCCTCTCCTTGAAATATCTATTTTCTGTCTTCTAAGGTTACGGAAAGTTTCAGCCATCACAAGTACTCCATCATACGTTAGTGCAGATGTATACTAAATAGATGGACAAACACACCGCTTTAGAGTTGGCATGTCTTTACAAAAATCAGCTGCCTCAGATATTTCTAGTTTGATTCATTTGCAGCAGCTTCTACACTTCAATTTAGAAAAAAAACTCTCCTCAAAATCAAAAGCTATTTTGTCTAAGGAACAAATGCAGGACTGAAGAGAGTACATTTCAGTAGCTTCAGCTTTAAAACTATTTCTTCAGGGTAGAGAAATCTGCCTCTGAAGAATTGTTAAAAGAAATACATTAAAAGAAATACATTAATCCAGAAATAGAAAAGTCTTAAATTTTTTTTCCAGTTGTTCTATACATTAGGAAACAACCTCACCCCCCCAACTTACTCAAAAGAAAAAAAAAGAAACAGTAACTCACTGAGAAAATATAATTGAAAAAAATGCACGGCTAATGAGCAGACATCCAGGCTATTGGAATTGTTAAGAATGATCAAGAATGCTCTTCCTACTGGAAAACCTATGTTGGCTCTCTGAATAACATAGAGCGCTGAATGGTCTGTGTTTCTACACTAACTACAGTAAATGCTTTATCTTTTCCTGTGAGGGTGGTGAGACACTGGAACAGGTTGCCCAGGGAAGCTGTGGATGCCCCATCCCTGGAGGTGTTCAAGGCCAGGCTGGATGAGGCTTTGAGCAACCTGGTCTAGTGGATGGTGTCCCGGCCCATGGCAGGTGGGGTGGAACTCGATGATCTTTGAGGTCCCTTCCAACCCAAACCATTCTGTGAGTCTGTGAGTTTTCAACAGACGATATTCTGGAGCCACATAAACAAAGGGGTGTTTTCTTCAGTATGGTCCTCTGATGAACACACTGCACCAGGAGAAGTTGTTCACATGCCCAGGGCTGCTATTGATATGCCCTGTAACTTCCAAATTTTAAATTCACTTATTCAACCTAATTTCCTTCCTTTCCTTTGTCCTGCATGTTGTAAGCTCTTTGGGACATGGTTTATCTTTAGAATCTCATATTTTGGTTATCCATACGTGTGATTCAGATTAATCGTGCTTACTTCTCAGATGGAGGCAGCACAATCCAGTTCATGTGGCAAGGAGTCCTATAGACTAAATTGTTCCTGTCACCAGTACTTTGGGATGTTTGCACTCCATAGCCTACAGCATCCTTGGTTGTTGTTGTTTTTTTGTTTTTGTTTTTGTTTTTTTTCCCTCTAGAACATAAATTTTTTGAATATTCACTGAATTACGTAGCTATGCTTTGTATTATCCATGTTGATACTTTCTCTAGACTCTGACAACCTAACATTCTCCCAGCCAAGGGAGAGCTGATTGCTTATCTTTGCACAATGCCCAGCATAAAGGATCCCAGTCTCAACTAGGTCTGATATGCATTAGCACATATAATAACAGAACAATTTTGATGAAGTCATATCTAGAACTATGCTGTGATTTGCCTGCCAAGACACTTATAGGTGAGAGAAATATTTTGTTATCCATCTGCAAGGGATTAGGATAGAGGAACACTGGGATGTAATTTCACTGTAAGATCATGCCTGAAAGTGATTACTACACCAGGTTTTGAGGTGAATAGAATTTCCAAAGGAAACTCCAGATGAAAATTTATGGGCACTAAATTTACAGTTGTGGTTATATCTCATATACAGAAGAATTCAGCTGTCGGGAAAGCTCTGCACTCAAAGTAAATCTAGATAATTGCACTAATTCATGTAAAATTGGTTGAATAAGTTGTCAGTTAAACATTTGACCTTTAATTCCTGTCAGTAAAAGGATGAAGTTGGAGAATAAGTGACAAAGGACATTAAAGTACATCAGTGAAATGTGTTGCAGTTTGTGTTTCTAACACACAATCATAAGGATAGGCATAATTAGTTGCCAGTAACAGTTAAGATCAACTGCCACCTTCTCTTCCTAAATATTAAGGTCTTCATTCATGTATTCAGCAACGTTAATCAGAAATGAGAACACTGGAGTGATATCGTTGGTAGTGCTTCAGATCAGCCAGTACCTTTGGTGGGGTCTCGGATCCTGGGTATTCTCTCTGGTCCAGCTTCTTCCAGCGCTGCATCAGCTTAGTTACCATCGGGGTACTGAAATCTACTAGCTGGAATCCAGTCACATTGGCTCCTCCGTGCATAAATCTCTCCAGAGAAATATCTTTGAATCCCTAGAAAATCAATTTAAGATTTTGCTTGTCCTCATACACCACTGTGGGTCCAACCTCTTCTAGGTCAGCAAGGCAGCATAAAGAATGTACAGCAGCAACTTTCCATTAGAAGTCAAGACTTAAAACTAGAGAATAATATTGAACCTTTGTTCATAATTTCCATTTGTGTAATAAACAAGGAAAAAAAACCCAAGAAGTTAATTTCCAAATTATTGCTAGGGTGGTCTTGACAGCTAAGAAACACATTGCTGGGAGTGGCAGACAGCTTTTGAATAAATGCCTTATGCGAATCAACTGAAAAGTGTCTGCAGAATATTAAAACCTTAATCTAATTTCCATCAAAGTTGGCAGATTTGAGTGAGCACTGTAGTAGTGCTTTAACCAGTATATCCCCGATTCTTTGCATGTTTGTAAAATGAACAACACTATTGTGTGAATACATTTATTCCAGGATTCATTGTTTAAGCTGAGATAATGAGATAATATAACAGACATTGGAAGGCAGAGACAGCACATGAAGATCTCACTGTTAGTGCAAGGAAAATATAACATCAGAATCACACTTTTGTGAAATATGATGGTGGTAGCTCCCAGTTCTGCTACATATTTAAAGCCTAGAGTGACACTCAACATTGAAAGAAAAAATAATACTTCCTGACTTACTAGTTTCTCAGGCTAATCTGTTCAGCACATATAAAGGCAAATTCTTAAGTAAAATTTGCCTTTAGAGACATAACTGAACTTCAAGAAACTGCATAATGCAAACTAGTAAAGCAAGCTAAGAAGCAAGCATGAATCTTTCTGCTCCCTTCCCAGCTGCTACGTTTAATGTTAGTTCAGAGTTATCTTATTTTTTTATTTCCTTAAATTCCTCTCATCGGCGATTATCAGTGCAAACAGAAGTGTATTATCACACTCAAGTCAAAAAGAAAGGCGGAAAAAAATTGTGGGATACTGACCCAATATCCCAGGGAAAGAACTTGTTAAGGACGGGGATTTCATTCATGTCCTAAAGGATACTGACAGTAAATAAAAAAAGTGACACACCAGGAAGTCATATTATTCACATTACTGAACTGCCAGTAGATAGCAACGTGTGCCCCTGCTGAAGGAGATGAGCAGATGTGACTGTCTCCACTGTATATCCCACTAGCAGTTGACTGCAACATCCAGTTCCTTGTTTACAGCAACTATTTCGCGTTGGAAAAATTACTTTGGGAACTATAAATTTGTAATGCTGAAAATCTAATTTGTAAGACCTAAGAGAATAGACATGTCTTGTTTAAAATGCCTGAGGTCCTAAAAATAATCTGAAGTGATCTTAAGTTAAGGTACAAGAACAGCAAGGCACAATAAAATATTTCATGTTAACTAAAATTCCTTGAGGAAGAGTAAAAAGAAAACAATTTAAAACATACATTAGACTCTGTCCTACATTCACTGCAGTTAGCCAGGCAGGTATTTTGGCTTAAAGAATGGGTTATTTTATTAATAAAATATTGCATTTACTCTTTCTTTGCCTTCTTCTGAACATTACCTTTGTGAATAGGCAGTTTAGACTTGCAGTGAAAATACTGAACTAGCAATTTGACTGGAAATAGCTGATCTTACAGCAAAATGAATGTTCCCTGGTGAATGTAGAAAAGCTACCTCAGGAATTGTTATGTTAGTAATATTAACAAGATGAGTCAAAAATCATAGTGTAGTTCTGTAAATTCTAATTCAGCCACAAGATACACTTAGTAGTCCTTCATGTTACATTGATTTTGATAAAATTCAAGAGGGTAGCACTGTGCCCTTCTTGTCTAGATGGCTGTAACAACAAAACCAAGTTCTTTTATGCACCATAAAGAATTTCTTATGCACAACCACATATTAGTGACAAATGGCAAATGTTGTGTGAAGTGCTATAACTTCAAAGCAAAAACTGAGCGTTTCACTTACCAAGCAGGGGTATAATACTAGAAAAGTATCTTACCAGGTTGGCAACAATATAATGGTATCCTTTAACATGCTTTCCCACGCTCACAATCTGTGGGAGAGAAATAAGAAAGACAAAAGAAAAAACAATGTCATATTGTTTCATCTAGAAAGGTGTTTTCATAGCCAAATAGATATAAATTCTGAATTATATAACATCAGTAATATGATGTTGAGAGTCTTCATCTAATAAGACAGCAGTAACTTTCCAGGTGCTTACTCATGGGAAAAAATTACAATGAAAGTGAGTAAAGTAATGAACTGGTAGTCTGAGTGTCTTCTGTATGAATTAAAATGTTACTGTAGTATGCTATTTTATCAAATAGAGCAATTATGTATGAGGTACAAATTAAGAAGGAGGAGGTCACACACTATCTAGGAAGCCTACCCGCTGATATACTTTTCCATTTTAAATAACTGAGGAATTTATGAATCAAACTGTGTTTTCATCTCTCAAGATCAAAGCTGTTTGCCCTTGAGGTGGTCAAGTACTACAAGTGTTGCTCAGCTCTTAGTGATACCCTAAAGACTTTGGGCATGGTCATGAATGAGGATAGACCAAGAACGGACAGCAAGGGTGAGGCTGCCAAAATTTGACATCAAGTGATGCAAAAAGGGAACAACCATGATGTGCAGGTGCTACAGTCCTGATATGGTAAGATCAACAACAGAGTTTAGACAAAAACTATGTCAACCTACACCTTGTATCAATATGATTGCCACTGCTATGATGGAATGTCTCTTATTTAACATGCTAAAAATTGAAACTGATGAGAGACTATTTTGTCAGCAGAAAAATGGTGCAATAGTTTCATTACAGATTAAAGTTGTTTTTACTAAAGAAACTAACAGCATTGCCTGTAACATGCAGCTTCCATTTAATACCAGTACAGAATCTTTTTAGCTCTTATTTTTTATAATTTACCACTCATTTAGAAAAAGCCTGCTTGCAGCCCCAATATGTGAGCATTTTTCTCCTCATGTACTCATCTCCACAAAGCATTTGAGCTTTCTTCCAAATGACTAAATAAGACACAGGCAAAAGTTCTCTATGTGGTGCAGGTTGCTCAACAGGTAATGGGAAACTTATAGACCTGTCTCCTTTCCTGCTTTAAAATCTTAGCTCCAGGCCTTGTCCTGAAGAACTGGCAACTCCTTGCCTTCATGGGTCACACCTCATGTTCAAAAGATAGAACAAACATTCACTAAGCCTTGCAGCTCCTTTTACCAGTGCTGCAAAAAATAATATCACATTTTGGAGATGAGAGGCAAGTTGCTGAAGGACTAAATAATTTGGACAAAGACATCCAAGGGGCCAGGATTCAAATCCAGATTAAGACTTGGAAATGCTTGATTCCTAGCTGTGTTGTTCCAGTAAGTCAATTTGCTTCTACAGCAGAGTGGAAGGGAAGATCGAAGAGATGTGGCTAAGTGTCTTGTCAGAACTGTTTTAATTTCATTATTTTAAAGCAATAAAGTGAACAAGCAATTTCTCTGTTATCCTGTTGTTCTTCTTGTTTCCCAACCTCTGTTTCATTTTAGACTCTGTAGCTAAAATGATAATATTTAAAAAGCAAAACATAAGCTAAAAAAGCCCCCAAAATCCCACTTCCCTCCCAAGCCATGATGACATTGTTGCTCTTCATATAAATGAATCACTCATTTTGGACTCAATAAAGCTCCCATTAAGATCAGTGATTAAATACCATTGCTACCATTTCATTGGGGGGCTGCAGAGAGCAACAGGGAGAAATCACACTTTTCCCTGTCACCAATTCAATGCATGTGAGAAGGGTGCTGTCGAGACATTTTTTTTTTCACTGAATACAAAGGGTTCACATCCCTGCTGGTTCAATGGCCTCAACAGGGATCTGATTCCTGACACCAATAAAACATGCTAATGAAAATACATTTGCCTCCTCATTACAAGGAAACTGATATAGATTAAAACCTCACATTTTTAAATAACTACAGAATCACAGTTTGAATATAAGTGGACTGACATGATTTAAGATGTACATGACATGATAACCAGATCCTCAGCTTGGGCAAATCGCTGCAGGTCCCTTCAAGCTCTTGGAAGCTGATGTAGCTTTGGCAATTAAGACCCTCAGTGATCTGTTCCCTGATTTGGTTGTGTAACACAAATTGTGACAATCATTGCAATGTATCAGTCAAATAAAACAAGCACATGATCAACCTGCAACCGTTGAGGTACTTTAGATACATGTTCATACTTGTCACCATCAAAATGACTAAATATGGTGAATGATTAACCAGATTTGCTTCTGTGCTTGATCCTAGCAAATGCATGTAGAAATGACTGCTGAATTCCTGGATTTAGTGTGAACAATACAGAATATCTTTGGAAAAAAAATGAATTTTTCAGTGTATTCTCTCAGAAAATTGTCTCTGGGGGTAGTGATAAAGGTATACATTTATGTATCATCTAGTTGTCTTAAATTCCTTATGATCAGAGGAAAGAGCAGGCACTTTGAGGAAATGATTCATCTTATCCTAAAGCACATGTCTAAATTTAATTAGACAGCTTGTGCCCTGAAAGTACATATTTTTCTGCGCTGACTAGAAAAAGAGTTGATGGTGATTAGCTCTGATGTAGACACCTACATTTTATATGCCTAATGTTAACTGAGATGAATTTCACCCTAAGAATGTTGATCATGCAGACTGAAAAGAGAAAGGATGCTACATGGCTTGAATTTCCAACCAAGACTGAAGACAATTCTGATTTTGAATTTGAAAATATTATGGTTATTGATCACACACAGTTTCCAAATCAGGAATTGCTTATGATTTAGGGAAAAAAATGCCTGTTTAGTGAGACAGCTTTCTGTGAGCATCTCACACTTTCAAATATCCAAAATACACATACAGTCACCTTTCTCCTTCAAATACTCAAAACTGCAGATTATGATCTATAAAATGGGATATGAATTCTTGCTACCTGAAGAACCACCATTGTCTCTATTGTAGTTCTTCACTGAGATAAATTGAGACAATGAACTTAAGTCTTTCATAACAAGAGAAGGAGTTTCTGGCAGCTGCTGAGTCTGGAATGCAAACTCTCACACTTTTCTTCTCCATTCTTTAACTGGTTAGCAGTGACTAGAGCTTTAACAGAGATGAGACCTCAACCATTCCATACATGTAACAGTGGATATTGCCCTGAACCACAAACTAAACAGATGAGTGCTGGTGAGTGAGGGAACAATATTTTTGTTCTATGGCAGAGCTGAGGTGTGTGTGGAGGAAAGATCCAGCAAACCTATTCTGAAAGGGAAAAGTAAGACTGAGATTTTTGGCAGATGAGGTAGAAGTTCACTAAGTTTGGGGGCACCTTAAAACCCCAGGTATTTCCTTGTGCAACCCTAAATTCAGACCTAAGGACCAAGCTCAGTCACAGTCCAGAGAGAGAGCAGAGTTGCATTGCCTAATACCTACATCAGCAAGCATCGAAGTCCATAGGATAGGATCTGTACAGCAAAAGCATTGGTGCTAAGGAACTGGCATCCATAGCATCCACATTTCAGAGTTTTACTCTGGACTGTCTCTAACCTGGTCACTAGACTGAACTCACAGTGGGTGTCCGTGTACTTCAGGGGGGCTTCTGGGCATATCTTCTTGTTTGGTGTCATCCAAAAGAAAACCAATTCATGTATTTTGAGTCTGTCCTTGATGTGAAATGCAGCACAGTAAATGGCTGCAATCAGGTTAATTTCAAAAGAGCGTGTTCCTCTTTTCCAAAGCATTCAACCAAGATGCTTTATGTGCCTGTGGGCCCTGCTCTCTTAGACAGGCCCTGAGCATCCATGGGGCAGGGGGCACAAGGCTGAGCATTCCTTCCTTCATTTCAAAAAGGAAGGCCCTGAAGAGGGTGACGCTGCCCCAGGCACCCGTGGTCGCTCTGCCCAGGGAGCAGGAGGTCTGGCTTGGCTCTCACCTCGGCCAGCTGCAAAACCTGCGACAGGGCTAGGCACCAAAATTGGGCTTTGCCAGTCACATAAGCAGTGATACACCATGAAACTGCTGACATGGTAGGTCAGGGTCATGGTGGGTCAGGGAGGACCCTCATGTGTAACTGTCCTTTTCATTCTGTCAGGATTTTTGTCTCAAAACTGTTCTAGTGCCAGTAACCTGAGCGAGTGGGATTAGATCCATTCCTCCCCCTCACATAGTACTTCTTCACTTGCACCTTCTAAACATTTATATTTGCTCTGTACTCCCACTCTTACTTCTCCTTGAATAACACACACAGATATTGCACCTGGCCTTTGTGGCAGTGAGAGCTTAAGGTGACCTCAGCTTGCTCAGGGAGATTTTGGGAAGAAAGTGTTGGGAAGGGTGAACGGATTTGGGACTTCTTTGGGGAAGGATGAGAGCAGAGGATGCCGCACCAGCTCTTTTATATTGATTTGCATGTTTTAATTCAATGACCAGGGTAGCTACCACCTAGAATTGGAGCTCTTTTATACTCTTATTTGTAAAACTCAATAAATTATTAAATAATGAACATCATTTGGAAGAAGAATGAATAAGAAAATACAAACTGCTTCCCAAATTACAATAAACAGGAAAGACAACAAGAGCCATTCCATGTATTACCTAGTAGTGAATACTGTTAGTGAATACTTCCTTTCAGTAAATGCAACAGGATAGAATCAAAGAAAGTGAAATACTAAGGCCACTAGGCTATCAAGGCTGTTTCAGAATCTAATCCAACTTTTTTTTTTTCCCAAACATAATTCTGTATGCCAGTGTCCATAGAAAGGTGAACTTTGAAAAAAAAAAAACAAAACAACCAGCCTTAGGCTCTATTCACATTACTAAGGCATCTATGTGTGAGAAACTAAAAAGAACAGTACATTGTGAGAATTTTTAGTTGCTGATCTTTCATACTCAATTAAGGAAACACGTTATTCTGATTTCAGTGAATCTAGTGGTAACCAAACTTAACTGCAATTATTCTACCGACTTAAAGTGTGGTAAAAGCAGGGCCAGTGAGATCAGAATTCAACTTAAGCCACAACTCTGAACTTTCCAACTGTATCATACAATACTGTTCTTTCCAGTTAGCTGAACAATAGC